AGGTACCGGAAGAGTGTTACAGCAGAACGATTATTATTATTATTACTATTATCTGAAGGCGAACCCTGGTGTCGATCAGATTTTCTGTTACCTCTTTATTTGTAAGGAATACAAAAACAATATTGTGAGACCAGTCTTTTGGGCATTTCTTCTCAACAGCACAAACAGCATGGTCCGGAATAATCATCAAGCTAGTGATGTAAACACAGTGGGATTAAAAACATATCAAGCTATGCAAGAAATGACAAAATCGACTTACGCCGCTTCGACGCGATGTCATAGCAACAACGGGAGACCAAGTTCGGTTGCGTGGGTCAAAGCATTCGGCCGATGACAGCTCGGTTATTTCATCCCGACCACCGACTGCGTAGATCAGGCCATTGTAAACTGCCACACCAAGGTGTTTGCGTCGAGTGCCCATACAAGGGACACGATGCCAGTTGCCAACACGAGGGTCGTAGTGCTCAACCGAGGCGAGAGGCTGTTGTCCATCCGAACCACCGACTGCATACAACTGACCATTCAACACGGCTACACCCACACCCAGCCGTCGAGACGCCATGCTGGCTAACTAGAAAGTGTGATATCGAGAAGGAACGGAAGTGAATACGATGGTACACACTGGTTACATAAAGATTGGGCTGTAACAGTAAACCACATTCGAAACATTTGGGACTATTTTCGTTGTTCGGTCAGGAATCCAATTATTGGCTGTCGTGTAGCTTTGTATCAACTGCGAAACCACTCGCAGACCTTGGGTTACAACCTTGGCCATATCCCATTCGGATAGGTATGTTCGAGGCGGGATGGCTCAAGTGGTTAGAGCGTAAATTTGCTGACCGGAAAGTCCATGGTTCGAACCCAACCTCTGCCTCCCGACTTCCCCTGTCTAGGCTTGGGTAAACTGGCATTTTCCCAGCCTTCGTGCTTCCTTCGGGTGGCATGTCAGTCAGGCACCGGAAGAGTGTTACAGCTGAAAGATTGCGCACAATCGCCTGAACTAGTCGCCCGTATGTTGTATCAATCATTTCAATGGTTTTCCTGGTCGAGGTATTTGTGCTCACTGATCAGAGTACTTTCATCCATGTAATCAACCGTAAATATTGAGAATAAACAAACTTCCAGCTGCAACATCCTTCCCGCACCTAACTGGTATGCGACCAGAAGGAAGCATGAGGACTAGGACACTGCCATGTTTCCCAAGCCTAGATAGGAGAAGCCGAGAAGCATACTTTAGGTTAGAACCACAAACGTTCCGGCCAGTAATTTCGCGCTTTAACCACTAAGCTCAATTAATTTAATAGCTCTCGTGCGGTTAACGTGAGATGCACAAAAGTGGTTACCTACACAAATCTGTCCGAAGAACCCGCTGCACACGGGATGCAAAGAATCAGTGAAATCGTTAGGCGAAAAGGTTGAAAAGACATGCAGCAAGTGATGACGGTTTGGCCTATGAGAACA